CGGTGAGTTACTGTGCTTCTGTTAAGAATCGAACGAACTACGATTAGTTTGACTTAATAACGGCAAACGTTAAATTCTCATATTTAAACTCTTTAGAACCTAACTCAAAGCTTATTTCAGTCTGGCGTAGCTTCAGTCAAAGGTCGCTCTGTATAACTCTAGATACTACACTAAGAGAATCATTCAATATTCTATCTTTACTTTTTTCTTGAAATTTGCAACAGGTTAAAACGCAATGTCAAATACCGCCTTCCTCAAGAACTGACAACGAATGGTTGGAGATGCTATTTTTATACCCTATAGATCTTCTATAATTTATGCTTTTGCGTGATGTGAATGTAATGAATTACAAGCAAGTCAAGTTAAAACAGGAAACGAAATAAACCAACTTCAGGAAACGGAAATCCAATTTTAGAAGGACATGGAAAATATTTGATGTACTTTTTGTTTTCCACACTGTGGTAGGTGCGGCAGCCTAATTGTTATTAGTGCACTGCACTCCAAGTGCTTAGAATAACGCTCGTTGATACTAAATTTCTAATTTTTTTACGGGTTTCCAACAAGGCGCAATAACAAACAGTTACTCTGTCCTCAGTCCTCTGTGGACATTCGAGGGTTGCGACCGAGTCAAGAGAACTGAGCCCGAGAGCGCAAGCTACTTTGTCATTTATTTGTTTGTTTGTTTGTTGTTTTTTATTTCTTTTCTGAAACACGACCAGTCAACTAAGATTTTCGCGCAAGAACCGATCACAAAAATGCTTTAATTTATCATTAGTCTCTCGAACATGCTTGAGATAATTCAAGCATAATGNAAGTGCTCAGAATAACGTTCGTTGATACCTGAATTTCTAATTTTTTTACGGGTTTCCAACAAGGCGCAATTACAAACAGTTACTCTGTCCTCAGTCCTCTGTGGACATTCGAGGGTTGCGACCGAGTGACGAGAAGTGAGCCTGACAGCTCAAGTTACTTTGTCATTTATTTATTTGTTTTTATTATTATTATTATTATTATTATTATTATTATTATTACTATTTCTTTTCTGAAACACGACCAGTCAACTAAGATTTACGCGCAAGAACCGATCACAAAAATGCTTAAATTTATCATTAGTCTCTCGAACATGCTTGAGATAATTCAAGCATGATGCCCAGTCGACAAGTAAGCTTAATCAAGTGCAAAAACCACAGGAAGGAAACACGAACAACCAACGGAAACGAAACGGTTTCCGGAAACGGAAAACAACAACTTCAGGAAACGAGAACAATTAGGATTCAATGACGCTTTGTTTCTATTGGGATCAACTGCATAAGTGAATTGATTGGGTTTATTTCTTGGTCTGTTGGGACAAAACTATTTTGGGTTTACAGTGGAACCCAGATATAACGAAGGGCCAAGGCACTCAATTCAATCTTTGTTATACCGGGGCTCGTTGAAGATGAAACTCCGTTGTATCGAATTTGCGGTTAATAGCTTGTGAAATTAAATCATCAATAGAAGATAGCGACACTGATTAAATGAATATTAATTTTTTTATAACTTAAGTTCATACAGCGTCACTGTACGTTTTTAGGAATCTTGCTGAGAACTTTAAAACAATTGATTTCTTGTTGAAATGAAAAAGATTTTGCTTGGGTCAATTATCAATTTATAATTCCCGTGTCCATTTGCATGTTCAATTCCCTCCCTGACAGCCGGAGTTGTTTCACATGAGTTACATGAGTTATAAAAAAAAAATTAATATTTATTTAATCAGTGTCGCTATCTTCTATTGATGATTTCATTTCATAAGCTATTAACCGCAAATTCGATACAACGGAGCTTCATCTTCAACGAGCCCCCGATATAACAAACATTGAATTGAGTCCCTTGGCCCTTCGTTCTATCTGGATTCCACTGTAAACCCAAAATAGCTTTGTCCCAACAGACCAAGAAATAAACCCAATCAATTCACTTATGTAGTTGATCCCAATAGAAAAAAAAACGTCATTGAATCTTAATTGTTCTCGTTTCCTGAAGTTGTTGTTTTCCGTTTCCGGAAACCGTTTCGTTTCTGTTAGTTGTTGGTGTTTCCTTCCTGTGGTTTTTGCACTTGATTAAGCTTATATGTCGACTGCACATTATGCTTGAATTATCTCAAGCATGTTCGAGAGACTAATGATAAATTAAAGCATTTTTGTGATCGGTTCTTGCGCGAAAATCTTAGTTGACTGGTCGTGTTTCAGAAAAGAAATAAAAAACAACAAACAAACAAACAAATAAATGACAAAGTAGCTTGCGCTCTCGGGCTCAGTTCTCTTGACTCGGTCGCAACCCTCGAATGTCCACAGAGGACTGAGGACAGAGTAACTGTTTGTTATTGCGCCTTGTTGGAAACCCGTAAAAAAATTAGAAATT